GTGGAGGTGCCTGAATTATAAAAAAAAAAAGGGTAATAAAAAAGGGTGGGGGAAAATTTGTTAAAAAAAGGAGGGGGGGGGGAAAAAAAAAAAAAAAAAAAAAAAAAAAGCTTGGGAAATTACAACCTGGGAAGTCTTCTTGAGTTTTTCTGTTCCAAAAGAATAGGTAAGAGAAAGTTAACATTCATTCAAGCCCTGTATTTGAAGCATTACCTTCCTAAATCCTCCTAACAATGTTTTTTTTGTTTGTTTTTTTGAGACCAGGTCTCCCTTTGTTTACCCCAGACTAGAGTGCAGAGGTGTGAACACAGTTCACTGCAGCCTCAGCCTCCTGGGCTCAAGTGATCCTCCTGCCTGAGCCTTCTGAGTAGCTGGGACCACTGGTCTGCCTTACCACACCCGGATAATTTTTAAATTTTTACTAGAGATGAGGTCTCACTATGTTGCTCAGGCTGGTCTTGAACTTCTGGGCTCCTTGAACTCTGACCTCCCCAAATGCTGGGATAGATGTGAGTCACCTCACCTGGCCTCTGGTTCTGTTATTGTCCCAATTTCATAAACTGGGGATGATGAAGCTATACAGCAGAAAGATTATTTAAACTTTGGAGGCAGACATGCTTAGACTCAAACCCTCATCTAGCATTTACTTACCAACTGTGCCATCGATTCCCTTATGAACTGAAGATATATCAAACCTCCTACTTTGCAGTGTTGTTGAGAAAGTATGTAGAGATAAGAACAGTATGCAAACATGTTGAGCAGTCTGGTGTTTCCCTCACACCTGATTCCACTGTTTCCTTCTACCTTCTTATTTCAGAATAGATTATCCATTCTCTTTTCCAGGTTAATAGAATGTACCTTGCTTTGTATCTCATTACCTCTATTTCAGAAATCTTCCTTCATCTCCAATCTTGTCTCTCATCCTTATCATTAACCTCTTTCACTACTGGCTTGCCCATCTCTAAAGTCTCACTCATCTTTAAAAATGTTTCCTCTTGTCTTATGTATACTAGCTTCTGCCTGATGTAGCCTCGCTATTTGAAAGTGTGGCATACTTGTACACTCCAATTCCTCACCACCCGTTAACATCTCTCTGTAGCCACGTCCCCCTTATTAAAACACCCTTCCCTAAGTTCCAGCATAGAACTCTCTGTTCATTTTCCTCCTAGTTCTCAGTTTTCTTCCAGAGTATTTTTTTCCTGATCCTTAAAGGTTACTTCTTGCTTTCCCCATTATTCCTGGATCATCTCATCCCATCAGATGGTTCCTGCTATAATCTTTAGACAAGTGACTCTTTAAGCTTATATCACGAGGCCAAATCCTTCCCCTATGATCTGGATGGATACAGTTGGCCTGTCATATCTGTGGGTTCCTTATCTATGGACCAATCAACTAAGGGTTGAAAATATGGCCGGGCGCGGTGGCTCAAGCCTGTAATCCCAGCACTGTGGGAGGCCGAGGCGGGTGGATCACGAGGTCAAGAGATCGAGACCATCCTGGTCAACATGGTGAAACCCCGTCTCTACTAAAAATACAAAAAATTAGCTGGGCATGGTGGCGCGTGCCTGTAATCCCAGCGACTCAGGAGGCTGAGGCAGGAGAATTGCCTGAACCCAGGAGGTGGAGGTTGCGGTGAGCCGATATCATGCCGCATTACACTCCAGCCTGGGTAAGAGCGAAACTCCGTCTCAAAAAAAAAAAAAAAAAAAAAAAAGAAAATATTTGGGGAAAAAAAGGAACATGTACAGACTTTTTTGTCATTATTCCCTAAACAATACAGTATAACAACTCTACATAGCATTTACACTGCATTGGGTACTGTAAGTAATGTAGAGGTGATCTGAAGTATATGAGATGCACTAGATGCAGTGGCTCAAGCCTGTAATCCTAGCACTTTGGGAGGCTGAAGCGGGAGGATTGCTTGAGGCCAGGAATTAATTGCCCTGGGCAACATAGTGAAACCCCATCTCTTCAACTATATTTTATTTTTTTTGGTGCCATAACTCGGATTAAAGCTTTAAAAAGAAAAAAAAAACAAAAAACTAGCCAGGTGGATGGGTGCAGTGGCTCATGCCTGTAATCCCAGCACTTTGGGAGGCTGAGACAGGCAGATCTCCTTTAGTTGAGAGTTCGAGACCAGCCTGGCCAACACGGAGAAACCCTGTCTCTACTGAAAATACAAAAAATTAGCCGGGCATGGTGGTGCATGCCTGTACTCCCAGCTACTTGGGAGGCTGAGGCAGGAGAATTGCTTGAAGCCAGGAGGTGCAGGTTGCAGTGAGCCGAGATCATGCCATTGCACTCCAGCCTGGGTAACAAGAGTGACACTCTTGTCTCAAAAAAAAAAAAAAAAAAAACAACAACAACAACCAACCAACCAAACACACAAAAAACTAGCCAGGCATGGTGCTGCCCACCTGTAGTCACTGCTACTCAAGAGGCTGAGGTGAGAGGATTGCTTGAACCCAAGAGTTCTAGACTACAGTGAGCTACAATCTAGTTATTGCACTCCAGCATGGATGACAGAGCAAGACCCTGTCTCTAAAGATGTGCTAGGTCACATGCAAGTACTATCCGGGTTTATATAAGGGACTTAAGCATCTATGGATTTTAGTATCCATAAGGGTCCTGGAACCAATCCCTCATAGATACTAAGGGACAACTGTATATCCAACTGCACTCTGGACATCTTTACCTTTACCTGGATAGGCCGCAAACTCAACAGTATTCAACAAAACTAACCTAATTCTCTTCTTTTGCTCAAATACATCCTTCCCAGCATATCCTATCTTAAGGAATGGTACTAAGCCAGAATGGTATTTAAACATTGCCTAAGCCAGACACTTGGAATTTATCCTTGATTTCCCACCCCCCCTACCGAAGACAGTGTCTGGCTTGATTACCCAGGTTGGAGTGCAGTGGCATGATCTTAGCTCACTGCAACCTCTGCCTCTGGGGCACAAGCTATTTTCCCACCTAAGCCTCCCAAGTAGCTGGGACTACAGGTGTGCACCATCATGTCTGGCTTATTTTTTGGTATTTTTTGTAGAGATAGGGTTTCACTATGTTGCCCAGGCTGGTCTGAACACCTGAGCTCAATGATCTGCCTACCTTAGCTTCCCAAAGTGCTGAAATTACAGACGTGAGCCACTGTGCCTGGCCTATCCTTGACTTCTTTTTAGTCAATTATTATCTCAAAGTTTTGCCATTTCCATCTCTTAATTATCTTTTCTGACCTTTTTTCCACCAATACAAGGATTCTCTTATGGATTTCCTTTTTTTTTTTTGAGACAGAGTCTCGCTCTGTCTCTGTCACCTAGGCTGGAGTGCTGTGGGGCAATCTCAGCCCACTGCAATTTCTGCCTCCCGGGTTCAAGCATTTCTTCTCTGCTTCAGCCTCCTGAGTAGCTGGGATCACAGGCATGCACCACCACGCCAGGCTAATTTTTGTATTTTTAGTAGAGATGGGGTTTCACCATATTGGCCAGACTGGTCTTGAACTCCTTACCTTGTGATCCACCAGTCTCGACCTCCCAAAGTGTGGGGATTACAGGCGTGAGCCACTGCGCTCGGCTGGATTTCTTTACTGCCTCTACCAGCCTCCACAATGTAGCAGGTGATCTTTCTAAGAACCAATCTAATCATGTTAATCACTACCTTCAAACCTTTCCATCGCTCCTCCTATTAGCCTTAAAATAAAATCCAAACCTCATAGCACAACATCCTGCCTACATATTTGGTCTTTTTTTCTTTTTCTTTTTTTTGAGACAGGGTCTCACTCTGTCACCTATACTGGAGTTCAGTGGTTTGATCTCTGCTCATTGCAACCTCTGCCTCCCGGGCTAGAGCGATTCTACCTCCTTGGCTGCCTGAGAAGCTGGGACCACAGGCATACACCACCATACCTAGCTAATATTTTGTATTTTTAGTAGAGACCGGGTTTTGCCCTGTTGCCAAAACTGGTCTTGAACTCCTGGATGCAAATAATCCACCCACCTTGGCCTCCCAATATGCTGGGATTACAGGTGTGAGCCACCCAGCCCAGCCAGTCTTTCTTCTTCTTCCTCTTCTCCTCAGACCAGATTCACACTCCATGCTCACATTTCCAAGTCTTTTTTACTGGCTACTCTGTCTACAATGCTCTTTCTGTCCCTCTTCATTGATGAACACTTACTCTGTCCTTTAGGAGTCAGTTCAGGAATCAGCTACCAGAAAGCCTTACTTGGGCACAGCAGGCTGAAGTGTCACATCTGTCTAACGGCACTGGCATAGTATCTTACTATGTACTTTAAGTATCTGTGCATCTTGTTTCCCATAGTTTTTGGGCAAGATTCACCGTCTTTTTTGTTTTTTGAGACAGGGTCTCGCTCTGTCACCCAAGCTGGAGAGCAGTGGCTCCATCATGGCTCACTAGAGCCTCAATCTCCTGGGCTCAAGGGATCCTCCCACCTTAGCTTCCCAAGTCGCTGGGACTATAGGTGCATGCCATCATACTTACCTAATTTAAATTTTTTTTTTTTTTTTTTTTGAAGCAGTCTTGCTCTGTTGCCAAGCTGGAGTGTAGTGGCGTGATCTCTGCTCATTGCAACCTCTGCCCTCTAGGTTCAAGTGATTTTCCTGCCTCAGCCTCCTGAGTAGCTGGGACTACAGGCATGTGCCACCACATCCAACTAATTTTTTTGTACTTTCAGTGGAGATGGGGTTTCAACGAGTTGGCCAGGGTGGTCTCAATCTCTTGACCTCATGATCCACCTGTCTTGGCCTCCCAAAGTGCTGGGATTACAGGCGTGAGCCACCGTGCCCAGCCCAATTTTTTTTTTTTTTTTTGAGACGGAGTTTCGCTCTTGTTACCCAGGC